GCTTGCCAGTGCGGTTTTCCCCAAAAAAAGGGCGGAGTCTCGGGGTGTAATTCAAAGGGCCTTAGACTAAACCCTAGACCCTAAACCCTAAACCCTCGAAAGGGGGGCCCTAACTTGACCACTTTGTGACGCCTCCCGAGCTCACCCCTTCGGCAGAAATTCAGTGGCTCCAGAAAGGACCCCCCAATGGCCCTTTAATGGAGCCCTTATGGTCCTAAATAGTGGGTATTTGGGGGATAATAGAGGGTAGTTGGGGGGTCTAGGAGAAAGCCTAAAAGTCCCGCACGACATGAACAATTTCTGCCTCCTACTTAGGGTTTAGGGTTTAGGGTTTAGGATTTAGGGACAATTATGGTTGAACTTTTTTTTTAGGGGGCGGTTTAGGGTTTAGGGTTTCCCTAACCCTCCCCTTACCTACTATATAGTGCCTTAGGGGCTCTAGTACCCTATATAGTAGGTACCTGGGGGGTTGGGGTTGGTAATGCAACCTAAACCAGACTCATTAAACTAAGGGGCCCTGAATCGAAGAAACGCAGTTTTTCAACTGTAAGCCAAAAGCTAACCCTTGATATGCGGAACCGTCCAAAATAAGTCGAAACTACAGCGGCATCGTTTTAGAATCCGAAGTACATGTATACAACAACAACATCGCATGTGCAATACTTTGAAGGCACTGGAGTGATCGCCGAAGACCTCCACAAGAGCAGTCACAGCCAGGCGCGAGTCAAGCTTCAGGGCTGCATGCAGCTGCTCTAGTGGAATTTCGACCTCCAGTGCACAACAGCATGACCCCACCATGCAAGACGAGGTAAGATGATGCTCTAGCTGGCTGGGGTATGTGTGACTTCAAGACTTCAACACCCCCGGCCCCACTCAACCTTAAATATACGCGTAGACACAAACACTCATGAATGGAGATAGAACGATGAATAGACAGATGGATAGACAGATAGATGGATAGGTGAATAAAGAAACGGAAAAACAGATAGAGATGGAGAGATGGTCAGGTAGATACGTAGATAGGCAGATAGATAGTGCAATAGAAGATAGACAAATAGATAGGTAGGTAGGTAGGTAGGTAGGTAGGGAGGGAGGGAGGGA